TTAAAAAAAAAAAAAAAAAAATCACTTTTTTTTTTACATTTGCCACTTTGCCTGATGTAGAAGAAGAAAACATTGTTCAATTATTCTTGCTCTTGATTAACACAAATTTTTTTTTAATTTATGGAAATTTTTTTTCATTAAAAATTAGAAGTTTTTAAAAATTTATTTTTTTGTCTTTCACCTCCAAGTTTGAAAGTGGCTAACCATTTACATGAAATTTAGAGGCTATGTTTGAGCTGGTGTGCATTTGTCTGTATGATATTTGTCATATGCAAAATTCACTTGGGGCTCTGGAAACTTGAGATACCATGAGATACTGAGATCTCTGACTCAGAAGATACACCATAAGTATTCTGGGACATCTACTGACCCTCTAGAAAGAGAAGACAACATTGTTTTAACAATGAATCCAAAGAGGAAATCACAAATACAAACAGTCAGGATAGGAGGAGTGAGTTTGTGACCAAGGTGCTACACACAGGGAACCTCTAGTATCACCTTCCACATTGAGAAGCAGCAAAATTTTACTTATTTAACTATCAGACTCTACTGAACAACACAAAATGGGCCAGTTAATTCTTTCTTTTAAAAAACCCCACAATTTTATCAATTTCTTTAAAAAATGAGATTGGTATATTCCTACAACCTAATATTACACAGATATGGATAACTAGACCTCCAACTGTATCTTACATTTACCTCTTTGGAATCAAGGGTCTCATGTTCAGGAATAGCCACCATTGGATGACTCAGCTTCACAGAAAAGGTGCCCAGGATGTGATGAGAGGTAGAAGTAAGAAGAAATAAACATTTAAATTTCATTTAAGTAGATAGTTAAACAATGATGTAAGTATATTACTGCAGATCATAGTAGATTCTGTCAAGTGTAAACATTAAAATTTGATTGTTATTAAAAACAAGGGAAGAGATTCTTAACAGAGAATAAACTTTAGCAGATGGTGAATACTTTGAGCATCAGACCACATCCTATTTGTTTCTCTATCCCACATAAACTCTAACAGTGCATGTCATACAGCATAGACAGTTATTAAATGTTTATTGAATTAACAAATTATTAAAACTCACTGACAGGTATCATAAAGAGAAAACAAAGTTGTATTTATGTGTCAACTCTCACAACAGGCCTCAAATTGAAAACTTCCAAAGCAAAAGAAATAAATCATGCTCAGACCCACAATAAATGCAGATGTATCTATAGATGTGCATGCTTATTTGGAATGGAAAGCATTGTGCATTATTGTAAACATTAATAATCTCAATACACAGGGACTTCATAATCATTGCAATCTTGCCAGATGATGTTATTATAATGTAGTTTACAACATAGTGACACTTTAACAGACAGGAGGTTCTTCTGCTTATGTAAGAATTTGTATGATTGCATGTGTCTTCTGAGCACTATCCATACACTTAAACTTATTATACAGAAGAAAGTCATAGATACATAAGAGAAAGAAACAGAATGAGGGACATACGTCAAGAGACATGGAGAGCAATCATTTGTAATACATCTATTTCTTTCTTTCTTTTTTTTCTTTTTTTACCATCTCTCCTCACTCCAACTTTAGGGTAACCACAATATCCATCTTGACAATAACATTCCCTGTTTCTGCTACTGTCCTGGAAAAATCAGGAAATAATTGCCCCACATTCACTTTTAATAGAGTCCTTAACTGATCAATAAATCAATGGAACAGTGATTATCTCCCAATCCTCCAGGGCAATTCAGGGGATCCCGGAAACTTAGCCTTTGCCCCAGGAGGATGCCAACACTGGCTGCTGGGGAGGCCAAGGAGGTCTTGCCACATGTTTCCTCAGACTTCCCTCTGTTCTGGAAGATTTTTAAGAATGGAGCCTGCCTTTATTTAAAGCTAGAGCTTCACTAATTCCCAGACATTACACTCTGTTCCCAACTATGAAATCCTCTGGGTAGCATAACATCAGGAGTCCTTCTAACTGCCTGAGACCATTGCTTTAAATAGAAGTATAATCTGACTCCTGAGCCAACTAGAAATCTAAATAGCATTCCAGAAATAAGCTGAAAGTGACTATTTTCTCCTTAGGATCCCCTGAGACCCTAAGTCTGGCTTAAGATCAGATCCTGTGTACTCCAAACCTCAGACTCAAGTAATTGGTCCTGGAGATATCAGAATTTTTAGCATACCTAGGCTAAGTGGTGCAGTAATTATATGAAACATCTGAGTTTGTACAATGTCAAGTTTTCATTCTCCTGGTCTCTTAAGATAGGATAGGATAAATATTCTGAAATTTGAAAATATTGGAACACTCCCAAAAAAATACTTATTGAGATTAAAAAAGGATTTGAGTATGTGATATCTACTTTTACATTCTATTCCTTCTTTTCAATATAGGTATTTATTCATTTAAATCTACTCATTTTAATCATGAATTTCAAAAACTATGTGTTAATTATCCTAATCAACAAAAGAACAGAAAATAACTGATTCTAATTAATCGATAATCCCCAAATCATTTATATTTGGCTTTGCGATGTTTTTTTTTTCTATTTATGATCTTTTGTCACAATAGGTTTGCCTTTTATTATCCTCAAGCTGGCCAAAAACACTAAATAAAATGTGATGTTATTAACGGACTTAGTCATAATAATTTATTTATATTCTTACATGGTAAATTCATTTTACAAATCTGTTTATTTAGTTTTTACAACAACCTAGTGAGGTGAGCACTAATTTTAGCCTATTTTACATAGGAGGAAACTAAAACTGAGAGGCAGGATAACTTTGAAGGTCCAGAACTAGTAAGTGGCACGGCCATGATTAGAATCCAGGGTGACAGTCCAGAGGCTGTGCTCTCTCAGCGAGTGTGAAGTGGCAGTGTGCCACTGGGAAGGTACTCAGGAGACAGGAGAGGGGCACAGGGGAAGGGAGTGACGTGCACCATTGTGCAGAAGGCAAAGCCACATGCTAAAGGGAAGAGTGTCCCTTTCCGAGGTAAGAAGCACTTCACCAGTGGCTGGTCTATGAAAGGCCATGCGAGAGACACGTCACGATGGATCTTATATGTCAGATAAGGAGGCTGGGCTTCATTCTCTAGGCAGTGAGAAGCCATTGAAGGACTCTAAGCAAGAAAGGGGTGTGTGTGATCAGAGCTTCATTTTTAAAAAGTCAGTGTGGCTGAAGTGTGAAATATGGATGGAGGAGGGAATGGGAAGATATTTAATCAGAGAAAGAGAGAGAGAATAAAGGTTTAAATTAAAGCATTGCCTTAGAGAAGAAAATAGACTCAATTTTTTCCAGATGACTCTAGGCCCCCCTAACTCTCTAGGATGAATGAAGGTAGACACATTGGTATTTTGTTGATTGGGAAGAAAAATTGGGAAACGTTGGAGAGAAATAATGTTGAATATTGACATCTCTGCTGAATGCAGAGATTTTGTAATGCTCAAGGGCTAGAGATGTTAAGTTGGGAGGAAAATAAAAATGGTGTGAAAATCTTCTCACAGTCAGAACAGCAACGATGAACCTAAAACATGAAAATTTTATATAGGTGAATGGCTTGCTATCTAGAGAGAAAATGTAGAGAAAGTAGGTGAATGCTGAAGGACAAAAAGTCCTCTACACCTGTTCACTTGGTGGTAAGTGTTCTGGAGAACAAATGAGTATTTGGTCTCAAAAAAATAAAATTGAAAAGTTACTAATTTTTTCATCAAAACATTATTCAACATAGAAGAATTGATGAAAGGGAAAGCTCAGATGCAATGAGACAAAACATGCTTTATTTCTAGATGGACGCTTCAGACCCAGATATTGTGTAACACACTAATTTGCTCACTCACCATTGTGGGATCATCAACAAGTGGTATCTGAATAGAATGTTTGGCTGATTTTTGTTACATTTGATCACAGCTGCCACCAAACTAATATAAAGCCTTGGAAAGTGTTTGTTACCCGGGTGGGGCTTTCTTGTAAATGTCACTGCTTCTCCAGAGGTAACACAAGCTTGTCTGACAAAGACAGATAAAATTTGCTCAACTAGAGAAAGGGGAACCCTACAAAAATAAGCCTAGAAAAAAAGAAAATATGCAAAAATGTGGTTAAATCACCTCATTAGGTCTTTAATCTACCTGAGAAATGGAATGCCAAGCTCTAGCTTTTGTGAAACAGCTCTCCCTTCTGCATGAAGATGATGTAGGCTTCCATGTCTGTCGGGAATTATGAAGCTGAGGAAAGCCTCTACACATGCTCTTCAGAATTCACTTCTTTGGGATTTTTTTTCTCATATAAAGCTCCTTTACTCCCTTTGTCTACATAAGCTGTACCTTCTATTTCTGTCTCCCCACCTAGATTTGTGAACTACTTAAGTTAGAGTGAAGCCTTCTTAAGAGCATCTCTCAAAAGAGACATGGCAAATTACTGTAGCAATCCCTACATAAAATATCACCTTTCAAAATATAAGGTTATCACTTTGAGACGTAAGCCATGGGAAGGCATGTGGATTATGTTATTCACCTTTAGTCTTCTGCACCTGGCATGAGGCCCCCTCAGCACAGAGCAGACACTACCTGAGTATTGAATGATTAAATTAATAAAAGAAAGAATGCATGAAATGGTTAGAGAAAACAAAGAGGGTATCCAGACTTGCAGAATTAAAGAATTCTGTATTAGTGACGAACCACAAACTGTTTACTGCCTTCCTAAAACTCTCCTCATTTACATGAAACTTTGCAAACTAGATACTTCTGAACCATCACACATGCGTGTGTCCTCTTTGACCCTCACAGTTCTTCTGCTTTAAAAAAATTTGAATTTTGTTGTTTTTTTTGCTGAATTTTGTGTTGAGTTCACAGATTCTCCTTGCAAGTTTTGTTTCTTTCTCTTGAACTGCTCAGCAGTCTCACTAGTCCTGCAATCGTCTTGATCTGTGGGGCACCTGCCCTTTTAGATGGAGCTAATGCTCTCCATGTCAACACAGTCCCACCACATCTCTACGAGGAGGCCAAGTGTCAGAGGCCCCTATTGTTGTGCTTATACATATATATCTGGCTTACTTCACTCATTTAGGGGATCTGGCCTAAGAAAGCATTGGAGGTTTTAATTCCTGATTTACAATATATACCAGTGCACAGGAAGCACCCAGGGAATCTTGTAAATCTCAGATTCTGACACAGTAGGTCTGGAGAGTGCCTGAGAGCCTGCATTTCTAAGGGGCTGTCAACTGATGCTAATGCCACCACAGGTTGAGTGGCGAGGCCATAACCAACACTTTTGTATGAACTGACACAATTGATGCTTTTCAAATATTTATCTATTCACAACTGAAATTAACTATGTTCTAAATGTCCTAATCAATTACATGGTGCTGGAGTTGTATAATTAATTAATTCAGCACAGATCTTTTTTATTAAGTACCTGCAAATGTCCCAGGCACTTTGCTAGATGTCAGAGCTATAACAGTGAACAAACACACATTGTCCCTGTCCTTGGAGAGTAGTGTAGAGGGAGAGATGGGTATTAATTATAAAAATCAGGACTATCTAAAAAAAACGTACAAAATAATGTGTTCTGAAGCAAAAGTTCAGAGTGCTAGGTTCATAACAGATAAGTCTGACCTAGTCTAGAAGGATGAAGGAATCTCTTCCCAAGTGGCTGAAATGTAAGGATAGCTCTCCTAATAGCAATACAGGGGACTGGAGCGTGAATGCATATGGGGTTAGTAGCTGAAAACAAATGACAGGCTGAGTGGGAGACAGG